TTTTAATAGATTTTTGTTTTTTCCATCTATAACAACTTTCAATCATCACATTAACATTGTTGTGTCATCGTACACACACACACACACACACAAACACAAATCTTATATCGCTTCTATATTTATATACATTCATTTATAGTTCTATATATTCCTCCAGATGAATTAGTGATTCAGAAAATTCTAGATTGCGCAGAAATGGATAAATTAACATTAAGGTGAAAGGACAAAGTGTCTGAATACTATGAAATTTGGGATAATTGGTATAAATGGTTGCATAAAAGAAATAAGGTTAATTTAGCGAAAAAGCAATAGAGAAATATATATAACTATAAATGAATGTATATAAATATAGAAGCGATATAAGATGTGTGTGTGTGTGTGTGTGTGTACGATGACACAACAATGTTAATGTGATGATTGAAAGTTGTTATAGATGGAAAAAACAAAAATCTATTAAAAGTGAAGTTACAATGTGTCCTGAAAAAGCTATGTATGATCCAAATTCAAAGTTCTGATATATACCCCCATGGACACATGACCATATTTTGGAGGCTTGGTTACTGGCCTACATTTATGGCCATTTACAACATATCATGTGATCACATTTTATTGGCAAAAATTGCTCCATAGTGAACAATGGGTTTTAGGTGTTATTATAATCAAAATTCTTAATAAAAATTATATATAAATATAAAAGACAGTAAACAGTCACAGTTAAGGATTTTAAATCTACAAGTTGGAGGTATTAACAGTTGTTTGAGTTGTATGCAGCCAAAATAATACCAGTCATGCCATAAATAGTTTCAAATAAGTAAGAGCTCTTATTACTCTTTGAAAATCCAGAGACATTGACATTAATTTGTATTGAGACAAGTTAAACTCCAAAAACTAATACAAAGAATTTTATTTTATGTTACGTTGTCTATGCATTGCATTTCATAGTAATTTAAGCACATTATGCAAAATAATAAATGGGTTTAGAAGATGTGCACTGAAATGGCTAACACTCTGGATAAATATTCTTATTAAATGTTTGGCTAATTTGCGCTGAGCTTAAATCATAATGAAAAGAAACAATAGAGCTGTGGTCTAAATCAAATATGTTAGGGTGCCTATTTTGTGATACATGTATTTGAAAGTTGTTTCTGTAGTATAACATATATGTGTTTTTCTCTCAGGTTTAGCAGATAGATTTGAAGAATATCCAAAACTCCGGGAACTCATTAGGCTGAAGGATGAGCTAATATCTAAATCTAACACCCCTCCAATGTAAATATTTTGAATAAACTGGATTCTTTTGTCTAGACAGGCTTATCTTTAGTTGACTCCGAATTAAGATTTTTCTATGAACACCTGTTGACAAAGGGAATATTTCAAGTTGTATATATAAACTTCAAAATTATTAATCTATTTTATTTGGTGTGCTTTCTTAATGAATTTTTGCTCTTGACCATTTTCTCAGATTTTCTTTTTTTCTTCTGCTGTTTGCAAATATCTCCAGTTCATAAGCCTTAGTTTGAAATGTGTAAATAATACAAATTTACTACATCAATGGATTAAAATAAGAATAATTTTCTTGGCGTAAGGGCTCCTTGTTAATAAATCAGGAATAGATAACTTGTGGCACTCCCTCATTCTTTGGAATCAATACTAATAAGATAGGGAGATGTAGTTCAGCAATATCAATTACCCCGCAGATTACCACCATAGTCTAAACAACTTTCTTGATGTAAAGAGACTTTACAAACCATTGGACTGTCTCCCATATTAAACAGCAAGGTTGCATTTCCATAGCTAGAATTCGTCTTGTGCAGCCCTCATGCTTGGTTCTCATTTGTTTTGAAAGTTCCGAACTGCTTCAGAAAATATTTTAAAGATGATGGGGTAGAAGTGAAGCAGGAAGAATCTGTTAAACTAATGGATGCTGTTTCAACAGTGATAGTTTGCTAAATTATTGGATACAGCCCATTTTAATTAATTTTGGAAAATGGGTTTTTAAATTTAATTTTGTGCTTATTTCAGAAGTTGCTTATCCCACATTAATTTTTATTTAATTAGAATAGTAATTTTATAGCAGTATTCGTATATTTTAATAAGGTAATGGTAGCCAGATTAGCTTTCAGAATTTAATTTCTGAGTATTAACCTAAACAGTTATCAGATTTTATTTACAAATTATTTATTCTACAAATGTGAATTGCTTTCTCAAAGCAAGAAAATTGTTTTTCTGCACAACTATGTGTGTTGCATGTGTAAATAGCACATCTAAATCTAAGACAATTGCATAACTTGTTTTAAATATCAGAGTTGGAAAATGGACACTGAAGTTGTCAACCTAGAAAACTAATCAAATAATATTAATGTATTTCTCATTTGTATGATAGGTATTTACAAGCTGAACTGGAAGCTTTTGACCTTCGTGAACTCAAGTCTAAGTTTGATGTGATCCTTTTAGAACCACCGTTGGAAGAATACTATAGAGAGACTGGCATTACTGCTAATGAGAAATGCTGGACATGGGATGATGTGAGTTTGCTATAGAAAACAAACAAAAGAAAAATTAAGACTGTCTTGTTTTGTTACTATTTTACATGAATTGACTTTTGAAATGCCTTTTATCTAACTGCTTTTCAGATTTTCTGTGAATGCTCTTTCATCACCCTTTTAAAATATGAAAGATAAGCAATACCTTCATTTTTAAAACCATTTATCATTAGTAATTCTTTCTTAACATTTAGCTAATTTTAAAATTGCAGCTGCAGTAGGCTGCTGTCTACCATCATCTATATTGGTAGATTTAGAAACAATTTATACAATATGTAGTTACGAAGCAACAAAGTAAGAACTGTTGCATAAAAATAATATGAGCCATAAGAATCCTTCATTTAGTTTTCTTAGAACAAAATATGTAAAGAAATAAACTTTGAATATTTGGTGGTAATTATAAGACTTTTTTAAAAAAAATCAAGGTTTGCTAAATAACATGTGCCAGATAAATAGCTCTCTAAGTTGTTACGGAGAACAATTAAGATAATAGAAAAAAAAGCAACTAAAATTTTGCATTTGAAGTATTGGTTGAATTTCATAATAAAAACAGCATTGTAGCCTTTGATCATGATTTTTTAATATTAAATCTCTGAATTTAATATGTTAAAATCATTTATCTTTAATAATTACAAAAGTAATACAGAAATAAGTTATAAAGTTATTGCTGTGTTTTCCTGAAAATAAGACATGTCCTGAAAATAAGTCCATATCAGATTTTCGGGGTGGGCAAAAATATACGCCCTCCCCTGAAAATAAGCCCTAGTGAAAGGGGTGNGAGGTTCGACAGTGAGAACAAGGAAGATATCTCAGTAAAGCAATTTTAGAATGCTATTAAACTTATAGAGGAGACATAAGGAGATAGTTGGAGAGTTTGCTGAACATCTGATTGAATAACCCTAGGACCATGATGGGGAACCTGTGGCACATGAAGCCATATTTGCTGACATGGCAGCCGTCAGTTTAGTTTGAAGAACCTAAATTCAGGGCTTTACTGTGGCACTGTGTCAGGCCCTCTCCTTAGCGGTCTCTGAAGGCACTTATAGGAGCACTCCATTTGGAGCAACAATGTCCCCACAACTCTGAATGAATACACAGAAACATGGACTTCATCAGTGTCTATATTATAGAGAAATTTGCAGTAGCCTTATTTTTACCATTATTACATAAATACCCAGGGCACACAGGACAATTTTATACCACCTTGTCACCTTCAGATACTAGCCCCGCTGCACATACAATGATCCCAGGTTTTGTGAAGCAATACTAAAAACACATCAGATGATGACCAGTCCTTGGGTCTCAGCTTTGTAAACTAGATTTAATGTGCACCCAGTATTAGAGTGCTCTGTAATTGGACATAAATAATAGTTTTCTACATATTGACTTCTCAAATACTCTCTATTCTTGGATAACACTTAAATATCTTTTTAGATTCACACTTTAAATTTATATATACTTTATTAATTTGTATCATGTTTTGTCAATTTACATTTTGACTATATGTTTTAGAGCCTCCATGCAGTCAATGACCAGCTTTTTTTAATGACTGAAGCTCACGTTTTATAGTGGTCCATGACAATAAAGCTTTATAATTTAAAAGTAATGTGGTCTAGCTGTCAGTTCAAAAATTATCATGTTTACATCCAATAAAAATGTTGAATAACTGAAAGTTATGCAATGTATTAAATAAATCTACACAGCTTCTTTTTGAAGGAAGTAGGTTGGATTACTCAAATGTCTACTGCCATAAGTATAATCACATATTATTTCTGTTGATCAATGACAGCATTCACTACTGTCATTTGTCTTTGTGTCTGGCCTTTAAGTTAGAATCTTAAGTTAGAGTTACCCTTGAATGCAGTAACTTTGCTTGTCCAGGTAAAAGGACCCAGTTGTTTTCCAAACACCCCATGATATTGGCAAAGGGAAGACTAACCACACCAGAGGAAAGGAGGTATACCAGTGATGGCTAACCTTTTTCCCATCGCATGCCAAAAATGAGGGTAGTGCAGGGGGGTCATGCGCAGGGGTGCCCACACCCATAATGCTATGTGTGCGACCCCCCACGCACATGCATGCGCAACCCCTGCCCTCCCTTCTTCTGCTTTTGACGTCACCTTTTTTCACCATCCCCAGTCTCCAGAGGCTTTCTAGGAGCCTGGGGAGGGGAAAAACAGCCCCCCCCGAGGCCCTCTGGAGGATTCCCTGAAGCCTCTGGAGGGCGAAAAATGGCCCAAAGCGCAAACCAGAAGGNAAGATGGCCTCCCTGAAATCCATATTAGAAGGCATCCAACAGGGCGATTTCTTGGCCTCCATCGATCTCACGGAGGCCTACCTTCACATCAGAATCGCCCCGGAACATTGTAGGTTCCTCAGATTTTCGCACAAGGACAATCATTTTCAATATAGAGTTCTGCACTTTGGGCTGGCTTCAGCCTCCAGGACCTTTACCAAGGTGCTGTCCGCGGCCCACCTGCCTTCCTTCCCAGTCCGCCTCTTTTGTTACCTGGATGACATCCTCATCCTAGCCAGGTCCCCAGACACTGCCAGGCAGGACCTGGGGCTCACCATCGACACCCTCAGGTCCCTGGGATTCTCTATCAACCTAGAGAAGAGCCAATTGGTCCCATCTACCAGTCTCCAGCACCTAGGATCCATTATAGATTCGGTGTCTGGGGAGGTTTTCCTTTCCCAGGACCGAAAGGACACCATTGTACAACTCATCCTTGAAATTTGCAAATTACGCTCTGTCCCTGTAGTTCTTCTTTCCAGGCTCCTTGGGAAATTCATTTCTTGTATAGGGATCGTGCCGTGGGCTTGCCTACATGCCAGGGAGCTTCAGTGGTTCCTGCTTCCACACCAGAGAGCCGGGACGAGCAATGCCAACTTCAAGGTTCGAGTGTCGAGCTGCAGTGGTTCCTGCTTCCACACCAGAGAGCCGGGACGAGCAATGCCAACTTCAAGGTTCGAGTGTCACCCCAGGTGCTGCTCTCACTCCGTTGGTGGCTGACCCCAGCGTTAGACAAAGGATCCCTCTTCAAGGAACCAGTAAGGAAGGTACTCACAACGGACGCGAGCCTGTTCGGCTGGGGAGCACACCTGGAGGCCCAGATAGCCCAGGGCCGCTGGACTCCAACAGACTTGCACAACAACATAAACTGGTTGGAGCTCAGAGCCATCCATCTGGCCCTACGTCACTTCAAGACCACGGTGACCGTTCACCATGTCCTGGTCTTGACGGACAACATGGCAACCAAGGCCCACGTGAACAGACAAGGGGGCAGCCACTCCAAGGCCCTTCGTGATGAGGCCCCCCGATTGGGGAACTGGGCAGAGAGGCACCTCCAGTCCATCAGAGCGGAACACATCTCCAGGACAGAGAACCAGCAAGCGGATTGGCTCAGCAGGGAGACGATCGACAACAGAGAGTGGCAGCTCCATCCCAGCATCTTCCTGCAGATTTGCGAGAGGTTCGGGCGCCCGAAGGTGGATCTCTTCGCAACCCCAGCGAACGCCCAGATGCCAAGATTTGTATCAAGATTCCCATCCAAGGGAGCCATGGACACGGACGCCCTTCGCTGCAGATGGCCACCAGGTCTTCTCTATGCCTCCCCCCCCCTTTCCTCTCATTCCCGGGGTTCTGAGGAAGTTAGTGTCCGAGGGAGCAGAGATGATTCTAGTGGCTCCCTTCTGGCCATGCCATCCCTGGCTAGCAGACCTGGTGGAGCTGTCCTCAGCTTCCCACTGGAGGATTCCCCCGGGGGAGGTGTCCCTGCACCAGGGGTCTCTGGAGCATCCGGATCCAGAGTGGCTCCATCTGACCGTCTGGCGATTGAGCGGGAACAGCTGAGAGGGGCCCATTTTTCCGCGAAGGTCATTAGGACCGTCGAGGCGTCCAGGAGGCAGTCCACCACTCGAATCTGCAACGCCTCCTGGGTTGCTTTCGCGGACTGGTGTCAAGCTAGGGACATCATCCCAGCTTTGGCCTCTGTGCCCCAGGTTCTGGACTTCCTACAGGAAGGTCTGGAAAAAGGTCTGGCCCCCAGCACCCTTAGGAGACAAGTCTCTGCCCTCTCCACAGTCCTGGGGGCGGGGGGTGGATGCTCCACCCTTGTCCCAACATCCAGTCCTAAGGCACTTCCTTAAGGGAGCGGCGAATATGAAACCCCCAGTGGTCCATCGATTTCCTACCTGGGACCTACCCACGGTCCTCCAGGTACTGACGGAGGCACCGTTCGAAACCTTGAGGGAAGTTTCCCTACAATTCCTGACCCTTAAGGTCGTCTTCCTGGTTGCCATCACCTCAGCCAGGAGAGTATCTGAGATCAACGCTCTCTCCAGCAGACCAGACCTTTGCACCTTTCTGGAGAACCGGGTCGCGTTCATGCCCAAGGTCAATTCTCCTTTCCACAGGGCTTTAGATATACTTCTGCCGGACTTCTGTCCGCAGTCCTCCAGGGAT